ATTGCAGTACTTCACATAGCTAATGTAATGTAAAACATATGAGGTCTTAAATTCTTAGTTTTCACACAAAATAATTTTTTTATAGTTTTAATTGCTTTTTAAGAAGACATTTTATTAGGATGAATGAATGAACAACATTACCAAATTGGGGGTATTGAATTGCAAATTTGATTACTGAATTGAAAATCAAATCGAACCAAATCAAATTCGTTAATTTGGTTTTCAATTCAGTTTAAAGAAATTTCTCAACCAAAATGACTGAATGAACACCCCTAGATTACACTCTATGTCTCTCTTCATCGGGTCGGGGTTGGGTTGTTGGTATTACTTCGGTTCGGGTTTGGATTTACTCAGACCCAACCCATTGACATCTCTATTGGCGGTAGCGGGACCTGATCCCAGGTCTTTGCTACAATCTCTTTAATTTAAAGTTCAACTGTTCAAGCCTCAAGAATCTTTTCATCCAACCTTTATTTGATTGAGAATTTTATATATATATATATATATATATATATGCATTTAATTGAGAATCTTTTCAACCTTTATTTGACTCGCTTATCAGTTTGACCGACTCCCAAGCGTCAGTTGACCTGGATACTTGGGGTATTATACTTAACGTTCCCACTATCAAGGAGTTAGTTTGTAGTTGGGAAGTTGCAAATGCAGTTTCGAATAAGCAGTCTTTAAATGCATTATTGAAGCATTAGACATTAAGGGGAAAAAGAGAACCTGAGGAGGTAAATGAGGTGAGCTTAGAACAAGCTCTGAACCCGACCTTCCCCAACTAACGAGAAGATATATCACAGTGATTTAAAAGGCGTGCCTAGGCGCACAGGCGAGGCGCATTTTGGGGTATGTGCCTTGCCTAGGTCCTAGGCGCACCCCTTTCAAAAGGCACGTGCCTGGTGCGCCTGGGCGTGTGCCTGATGCACCTTAGCCCAAGCGTGCACCTTTTTAAAATTTTGCGCTTTTTGCTTTTTTTTGGAGCCAAAAAGCTCCAAGAACCCCCTAGTTGCTAATGTTGTTCATTCATTCATTGCAATAAAATATCTTCTTAAAAGGCAATGAAAGTTATAAAATCATTATTTTTTATGTGAGAAATAAGAATTTCAGACCTTAACATAGACTTGTTCGGGCTTGCCTAGAGGGGTGTGGTACAAAGGCGACTAATAGAATCAAGAATGCAATATGTTTTACATCACATTAACTACTTGAAGCAATGCAATTAAGGAAAAAAAGAGATTCTGGGTTTTTCATGCTTGAAAATGCTTTATATGTTTGCTTTTATTTTTAAATTTTCATTTGAATACACGTTACATGTTATGTTTATGTATTTTAATTTTAGATAATAGGCTTTTTAAATCATTTATTTTTAAATTTAAGTTTATATTTTTATTAACATTATGTTTAATATTTTTTGATTTTTTTAAAAATTTTTTGGCATTTTTTTTTGAATTTTCCGACTTTTTTTTTTGATTTTTTAGCTTTTTTTTGGTAATTTTGTGCCTTTCTTAAAAAGGTGCGTGCCTTGCCTTGTGCCTCAAGCACAAATTGGCCCTTGTGCTTTTAAAACACTGATATATCGAACCCAACCTGATCCATCCCATATACCTAATGTGGACTTGTTTGGGCTTGCCTCGAGGGGTGTGGGACGGGAGTCCAGGGGCGGAGCCCCCGTCCCAACAGTTATGTTCAAAACAAAGCAAAAAAGCACCAAATTTTCAAAAGGCGCACGCGTAGGCGCACCAGGCGTGCCTTTTGAAAGGGCTGTGCCTACGACCTAGGCTAGGCGCATACCCTGAAATGCTCCTCGCCTGTGCGCCTAGCCACGCCTGAGGCGTGCCTTTTAAATCACTTCTCTAGTGTGCTTTGGCTTCTTGCAATAATCACACACCATATCCCTCTTGTCTTCCCTTTTCATTTCCCTCTCCTTATCACTAATAGATTTTGATTTCATTGGTGCAAAGTCTGATTCCATGGGTGGAATTTGTAACATAACTTTCCTTCTACTTTCTTCACTATGTACTAGTGAATAGGCTTGAGACACGGTGACACTGTCCCTAGTGAGCAACTGTTGCCTTACAATATCATAATCTGAATTCCGTCCAACAAGAAATTCAAACACCTTATTTGTTTCAACCAACTTCCTTTATGTTGCTGCACCCTTTTGGCTTTCCCATTCAATGGTCTCCAAGTGATCAATCTCATGCCACAGAGATTTTAAGGTAGAGAAGTAAATTGATACAGGTTTCTCCCCCTGTTTAAGGTTATTCACTTCACTTTTCAGCTCATATGCGCAAGCAACATTAAGGGTCTGTGAGTAGGTTTCCTTCATATTTTCCCAGATTTCCTTAGCAGTCTTCACCCATACGTAATTTCTAGTGATGTGTGGCTGCAAAGAGTTGCAAAACCAAGTCATCACTAGATAGTTTTCTTGAACCCATTTTGCATAGATTGAGTCTCCCTTTGCTGGTTCTTTAATGTCTCCGGTTACATATCCAAGCTTTCCCCTTCCCCCAATGGCCATCATGGCCAATTGGGCCCATTCCAGGTAATTTGTGCTATTAAATTTAACAGTAGTGATCTGAAAAGTATTATCTGACATACTCCTAGACCCCATAGATCCTTCTCCAAAGGATTTTGGTTCCTTCTCACCTATTTCCATACTGATCACACCACAAAGATCTCAAAAAACTCCCTTAACAGGTCTGAAACACAGCTTAAGCAGTAATCCAGTACAAACTCCAAGTCTGAACTACTCCCTTAATAGTCTAGAAGTGAAAACAGAACAGAAGAAGTAAATGGGATAGGTCAAAAACACTTAACTGACCTGTTCTCAGTAGAAACCCTAGAATCAGTCTAGAGAGAAAAGGAAAAGATCCAGCCGCTCCTTCCAGAAGAATTCAATCACTTCCTACAAGCTGATGATCTCATAAAGGAACTGTTTTTAATTCAGAAACCACTGAGCGCCAGTGCCAATTGGAGGTTTAGCCCCTAAACCTTAAACTGATCCAGGGAAATCTGATTCTTCCTGATTATTGGTGATCTCCAAGATTGCAGATCTTGGGCAGCAAGAATTTCTCCAATCAACCTCCAAGATTCAAGCAAGATAGTCTGAAGAATCCAGCCCTAATGCATCCTCATGTGGCCGGCTGGAAGAAGCCTACATAGAAGCCCTAGCAAGCCCTAAACTTGGCTCTGATACCAAGATTGCGGGTGCTATTCTCAGTCGATCAGAATTCTGATGAAGGTTCAGCAGGAAAAACAGAAGGAGAAGAGAGAAAGAGGAGAGAAGAGAAGAAGAATGTGAAGAGGAAAAGGGCACAGATTAGAATTAGTTTCTGCCGCCCAGAATTAGAATTTATATGTTTCTATTATAATAATAATAATGACAATGACATCTATGCCCCTGCCGCCCAATGCACTCCTTAATCAACAATAACAGTAATAATAATAGGCCCAGTAAGGCCCAGAAAGACTAATAACAAGGCCCAAAAGACTAGTAACAAGTAAATAAAAGAAAAGACAACTGATATGGCAGGGACTTCACTAAAATACTAGTCTATTTCTCCACAGTTTCCAAGGAATTAAATGCAGAATTCAAGTGGGTTAGAAGGACTGCAAATGTGATGGCTGATACACTTGCTAAACAGTGGATCCTGAGCAACCTTTTTGGGCTTTGTTGTAATTGTTTTTTTGTTTTGGGCTGGCAGTGTTTTCATCGTTTTGTATTAATTTCTCTCTTTAAGCTGATAAATTAAACTTTTCTTTCTGATAGAAAAATCAGTGTGCTTCATGGTTGTATCCTAATCTGGTTTCTCTTATAGTGGATCGATCTCTCCCTCTTACATGGACATAGGTCTTTAGGCTATACTACGTAAGCCTAGTTTCTTTGCTTGTTTCTTTATTTCCTTTGTTTTTCTGGTTTAGCTTGTTCTCCACTGCAACTCACCACGAGATGCAGTTTAGTTTTTTTGTTTGACATATATTTGGAGTACTAGTGATGTCAATTAGGTGCTATTAAGGTTGTAACTTGGGCTGGGTTGGCCCAAACCTAACCTGAAAAAGTCAGGTCGGGTTGGGCTGGGTTGATGCTCGGGTTAGGGTTGACCCCTTGGGAAACCTGACCCAACCCGAACCTGATTCTATAGTACATGTCATATAAATATATGTTATATATGATATATGATATATTAATTTGTTTAGATGCATGATAGTTGTATATTCCCCACCACATACTATCATGTCTTTCTTTTAAGATAATCACATCACTTAATCTTATTTGGAAAGACTAAAATCTTAATAATATATTTTATGTTTTTTGAACATTTTATTCTTCATTTCCTCTCTACTGTTTGCCGCCCATAGCTTGCAGCCCATAAAAGATCTATCATAAATTATAACTCATAATAAAACTTTCAAGCACTAATTTTTCTGAATTTTGTACTAAAAGAACCAATAAAAACATCAACAAACAAATACTAATAAAACATAGGATTAATATATGTAGTGAAATTGGATTAATATTTGAGTTTTAGAAGTTTTATGAGATTTTAAGGGATGGGAAGAAGGTTGGGTTGGGCCCAACCTGAGCCCAGGGTCAGGGTTGAAGGAATTTAGTTAGAGTTGGGTGTTTAGAACTTAGGCTTGGGCTAGGGTTGGCTTCAACCAGACTTAACCCGGCCCGACTTGCAGCCCTAACCAATGTTAACCACTTAGAGATGAAATCATCAGGCTATTTTCTTGTTTAATTATTTGCTCTGCCAAAATTATTCTTAATTGTTAGATGGCCTACTGTGCCAAATTTCATGTGATTGTGTGTTTGGTTTATTCAGGCTCATCCTCCATAGATTTGACTACTGGTTTTCCATATTGTGAATTGTGACCATATATATATATACACATTCTGGGTAGTTTAAAGTTTAGGATCAACATTGTAGGAGCTTTCTTGTACGATTTTTTCAATTGCTCTAATGATATTTTTGACTTTATCAATGCAGGCGACTGGCAGGTAGAGTCTTCTGTTCCACACCGATTATCAAGAGGCATGACAGCTTTACTGTGGAGACAGCAGATGGTGTTGTAGTTACAGTTAAAGGTTTAATAAACAATGCTCGCACATGTCAAAATGGCTTTTCTACTGAGGTATGCATATCTTTATTATTCCCCAAAAATAAAAATAAAAGATTTACCTTAATATTGGTAATATCTATCCTTTACTCATAATTTCTTAAAATCTTTTTGTGGTCTCAGTGGTTGGTGCTACCACCTCAATGCAATCAATTGTTATGTGGATCAGTGATGTCAGAAAATAATTGCATACTGTTAATATTCAGAAAAGAAAGGCAGGCAAAGCTTCCATGTTTGCACCCTACATTTTCACTTTGTGGGACTGCTACTTCTATTCAGCCTCACAAGCAAGTACAAACCAGCCAAGCACTTTCTCTCTCTCAAATTGAATCCCCTCCTCCTCCTCTTCTTCTTCTTCTTCTTCTTCACAATTTAATATTGTGATGCTATTGAAGGGTAGTTCTAGTGAGATGAGTCAATTAAAGGAATTGAATCAAGTATGAAGGCATCAGTGAAGAATATTGACTTATTGAGCATTCTTATTTTTTATTGTTGATGCTTCACTGTTGGTTGCATCTTTGCTGGATTTTTGGCTTCGTGAAGCACACTCAAAGTTAAGGGGATAGACACACTGAGGATCTTATGGAACTGCAGTAATTTTCTATCGTCGCAAAGGATGTGGAGTATTAAGATTGAGGTGAAAAATTCTTGCTAACATTTAGCTCTTAGGTGTTCCTTAATCATGGTAATGAGGAGAAGGTACACCAAGTTTGAAGCAAGAAATTTTCTGTTCAATAGAACTAGAGTTAAGGGGATAGTGGAAGAGGGCAACTGTTCTGTCTGATAGAGATGCAGCCAAATGGTTCTTAGATTTTGTGGATGTTGTCATCTTCTCCAGGAGGGGTGGAGATTGGAAGGCTTTGACAGATTTAGATGGAAGAGAATATTTAGTAGAAAGGAACTGGAATGTTAGAGGTAGTTTCATAGCACTGTGGGAGTTTTTTGTGAATGGGAAGAAGCAACTTGTGTTCTTTCCTGAGGGTTGGAGGAGTGCAGGTTGGTTAGAGGTTTCAAAGGTGCTAGGGGAGTTCCTCACAAATTTAAATATGCAAGATAACCGTTCGGTCACTAAAAACATACAAGGACAAAATTCAAATAAGAAGAAACAAAGGAGAGAGGAGAATGTTGCCATGGTGAGTTGTGAAGGTGAGATCAAAATGTTGCTCAACTTGGGGAAAGAGCATTGGGAGAATCTTTTGGTGGTTTCCGCAAAAAAGGCTATAGATGATTGGAGAGCAGTAGCTGAGGCGACTAGAAAATTGTTAAGTCTGAAAGGTACAATGATACTAACCCCTTTTGATGAAAGTAAAGCCTTACTGGACCTGTTTGAAAATGAGTTAGAGGTAGTTGCATTGACGGTAGAAGCTAATTCTGGGAAGCTTTTAATATCAAAATGGTGTTAAGTTCTAATTCAAAAAATTTTCAGATTGAAGATGGGGGGACAGTAAGAGTTCTTGGGGTGCCTTTTTTTGTGGTAGCAAGAGACTTTTGATTTGATTGCAAAAGTGTACGAGGGTTCTTCAAGTGGTGTGTTTGTCCAAGATTTTCATCTTGTGGTGTGATTGATGGTAATGAAACCTGAAGCCATATAAAGGAAGGGAGAGCTCTAATCTGATGGTCTGACTTTCAGAGTTTGGCTTGCAACCTCTGTTGAATCTGCACTATGGAGGGGTGGTAGCAGGATGGAAGAACAGGCTGAATATGGGGAATTGGGGGGTTGTGCTTCCTCTTATCATCTCCCCAAATCAAAGCTTTTGTTAATGACATACAGATTATTGATAAGATTTTAATTGCGAATGAGAGTGTTGAGGACTTCAAAAGGAATAGAAAGAAGGGTATTGTTTGTAAACTTGATTTGGAGAAGGCCTATGATTTGGTGGACTGGTCCTTTTTGGTGGAAGTAATGGAAAATTTTGGATTTGGGGAGAAATGGTGCAAATGGACATGAGGATGTTTGAAGACTTTCCACTATTCAATTTTGGTGAATGGAACTGCAGTTGATCACTTTCCAGCTATGAGGGGGATTAGGCAGGGTAACCCTCTCTCCCCCTTTCTTTTTACCTTGGTAGCTGATGTTCTGGGGAGACTAATTCAAAAAGCATATTCTAGGGGGTTGATAAGAGGGTGGAGAGTGGGAAGGGATAGAGTGCCTATCACACATTTGCAATTTGCTGATGACACAATTTTATTCTATGAAGGAGGTGATCTTGGTAGGGTGAGAAATCTAAAGTTAGCGGTCCAACTCTTTGAGCAAATGTCAAACCTGAAAATCAATTTTGGAAAGAGTTGTGTAGTGGGAGTGAATATGAATGAAAGGGAGATGTCAGATTGTGCAACTATCTTGGATTGTGAAATATCAAATTGGCCCATGAATTATTTGGGCCTCCCCTTGGGAGACAATCCGAGGAATGGTAACTTCTGGAACCTGATGGTGGATAGAGTAACGAAGAGATTAGCTTCCCGGAAGAAGAATTACCTATCCTTGGGTGGGTGAATAGCCTTAATGAAGTCAACCTTGGCCAATTTACTTGTATACTTTTTTATTAGTGTTCAAAATTCCAGTTGGGGTTTCCAAAAGCCTAGAAAAATAATTAGGGACTTTTTGTGGGAACCATGGGAGGAAAGAAAAGATCACAGGGTTAGTTGAGAAACTGTAATTAAAAGCATGATTTTTTGGAGGCTTGGGAATTGGCAACATTCAAAAAAAGAAATGTGGCTCTATTAGGGTAGGAGCCGACCTACCCATCTATCCCAGGGTCCTACCATACAGTTCCAAGTAATCTCTGAAGGAGTTAATGATGTCTTCCTTAGGGTCTGAACCAACGAAATAATTTTGGGAAGTACTAGTAGTCCAGTTACTTGATTGAGAATCTTGAGTGGCTAGGTTTGCAGAGGAAAATTTCTTCTGAGTAGGCTTCTTTGAAGTATCCTAATTTTTGGTTGCCCACTTGGGTTTCTCAACTAACTCCTAACAAGTCTCCTGGGTGTGTATAGACTTTTGACAGTGAGAACACCACAGTTTATCCTTATCATCATTCTTTCTTGACTTACCCTTTTTGTACCAGATTTTGGTTCTCTTACTTTCCCATTTATATAACCAGCCTTTCTTGTAGCCATCACATACACATAGTTTTCAAGGCGCCAAGGCGAGGCTAGGCGACCATGGGGCGCCCAGGCGCCTAGCCCTCGCCTAGGCGATGGAATTTAAAAATAAGAAGCCGATGGATTTCTGCCCCTTCTGTACTAGTTTTTTTGGTTTTATGTATTCTGCACTTTTGTGCTTGTGTTTCATGCAGTGTTGCTTGATGAGAACAATTACTAAAATAATAGAAGAAAATGAAGAAGAAAAGTAAGGGGCGGAGCCCCTGTTCTAGACCCAGAAAAAGAAGGTGAAAAAAATATTAAAATAAAAGGAAAAAATACAAAGAAGAATAGAAGGGGCTCTGCCCCTGTTTCAGACACCAATGATGAGAACAAAAAAAGGGCTGAAAAATGCAAGAAGTTAAGAACAAAAGAAGGGGGCGGAGCCCCTGTTTTAGACCCAGAAAAGCTGGTGAAAAAAATACTAAAATAAAAGAAGACTGACAAATTTCAGACACCAGTAATGAGGGAAAAGGAGCTGAAAACACATGAAATTTCAGAACAAAAGAAGGGTGTGGAGCCCCTGTTTTAGTCCAACAATATGATTCAAACCAGGAAAGAAGAATGGTTTTAGTCCAACAAGGAAGAGGAGAACAATAGGGCGTAACCATTGTTTTAAACCAGTGGAAAAAGAGAACAAAACGAAGGAGGAAACTGGTTAACTCACCTTGACTTAGAGGGTTGTGTTGGAACGATGGAGGGCTGTTCTCTCTTCTTCCTCATTCGATTCTTTTGTCAAAGTGAATGAAACCCTTGAGATTATTTTGTTTTTACTTCCTCATAACAAAAACATGATAACATGCAACATATCCTATTATAAAAACTAAAACCAACCAATAAAATATTATATATTATATATTTATTTTTATTTAATAAAATATTGTATACTATATATGTGTTTCAGTCCCCACTGCATGCGCCTAATACATTTTTTCTTGGCGTTTGGGCGAGGCGCTCCTTGAAAAGCGCCTAGTCGCCTAGGTGTCGCCTTGACAACTATGCACATACAGTTTGATGCCTTTGGACCATTCCAAGTAATTCAGCCCATCAAAAGGAGTGATAGACATCGAGAAATTTATGCTGTCCATCCCTTCATTTAGGGTTCCTTGAGGAGAAGTAATATCGGAATCTTCAATATACATTAGACTTACTGTGTTATTGCTGATTTCCCAAAGACAGGACTGAGAAAACTGAGGTTCTGTACCTCTACAGCATTGTTATTGGAACAAAAAAAAAAAAAGTCCAGCAGGCCAACTAGACAGAGGACAGCACTTCAAACAAAGAGAACAGCAGAACTTCAACCACCTTCGAATAAAGAGAGGCTTTAATAAACCAGTTCAGTAGGACTGAGGTCAGAAAAACCTTGCTGAATAGCCATCAGCTTATAGGAACAGAGAACCAGTCTCTACAACTCCAAATTGTAATATTCACAGCTACAGCACATTGAAACATGAATGTAACAGTACATACCTGGTGTACATCAATAAACTCCTGACCCACAGTCCATAAGAAAGAGGACAAACCCCAAAGAATGCTATTCACTGCATCCGGCTGCCACCAAAAGCTCCACAGAACCTCCTCTTGGTACAACTACCAAGAGAGAAAGAGAAAAAACACGGAAGCACGAGCCTAGTTCAGTCTGATGAGGTTTTGATTCTTCTTCCAGTCAAAAAAGGAGATTTCAGATGAAAAAACTCGATTTGAGAAGCTTGAGCCTGGATCAGTGCTCTGATAACATGTAGTCCAGCAAGAAGAAAGAAGAAAAAGTTGAAAAAAAAGGAAGAAGAAAGGAGAAGAGGAGAAAGGAGAAAAGAGTTCTATTCAAAAGAGTGTGGTTGGTGGCACCTAAGTTAGTATTTATACTTGGGGCGGCG